AAAATCGGCAAATAATGTTCTGGCTATTGTGCTGCCTATCATTGCTGCAATTCTGGCTATCAGTACCGTTTGTCTCTGTTATTTGAGGAGGAGGAGAAGGAGAAGACTAGCGAGCACTGAGCAAGCACATTGTATGTTATCTTAAACTCTTAACAGTTTGAACTCATGAATAGGTAGGAAAGAAAACCAATGAACTTACCATCGGCTTCGACCCAACTAAAGGGAAGTTCGGATGAGGAGTACTTCTTCCTCTTCCTTGTACATATTCCTTTTTCTTAATGAAATGATACACAACTCTTCTGCGTCCATTTCCAAAAACAACTCTTCTGCGTGTTCGAGAAAAAAAAAAGAGTACTTCTTCGGGAATTTCGAACTGAACCATTAGGAGTTAAATCTATAGCCCTGTTAATGGAATGATCCCTAGTAGGGAAGATTAGCATCTACTCCATCCACCAAAATATAAGACGTTTTTGCACTTATATTTTGATACAGAGGTAGTACTTTTGATATAACTGATTTTCTGTCTAGATTGAATTTCATTAACACCTAAAACTAAAACAGTTACATCTAGTTAAAAAAAATATAAGTCTCATGCAACACGTATATGGTGGAATTGGCTGCGGTGCCTATATATAATGCATCTCTATGTCTGTGTGCTTTCTGATAGATTCGACTAATCATGAAGACATAGACAGCATTGATTCACTTATCATTGATCTATCAACCTTACGCGATGCGACAAATAACTTTGCTGAGGCTAATAAGCTTGGTGAGGGAGGATTTGGTGCAGTTTATAAGGTACCAGCCATACCATACCGATTCTTTAGCATGCTTTTTTCAGCTTCAACAAATGATTGCTTACGCTTATGCAGGGAGACCTTCCTGATGGTCAAGAAATAGCTGTGAAGAGGCTCTCCAGGAATTCAGGGCAAGGAATAGGGGAGCTCAAGAATGAGCTTGTTTTGGTCGCCAAGCTTCAACATAAGAATCTTGTCAGGCTTGTTGGCGTATGCTTGCAAGAGCATGAGAAACTGCTTGTGTACGAATACATGCCCAATAGAAGCATTGACACCATTCTTTTTGGTACTAATTCCGATCATTATTTCAGCAATAGCATAACAACTACTAAAGCCAAGCATTGCATGGAAAAATCCTAAGGAATTATTTTGTCCAAAACACTAGGGTGTTGGAAAACTGAACTTTATTCATTCACGGTTTCTTGTTCAAATGCCAGATCCTGAGAGAAAAAAGGAGCTAGACTGGGGAAAGAGATTAAAGATAATAAATGGGATTGCTCGAGGATTGCAGTATCTTCATGAAGATTCACAGCTGAGAATAATCCACCGGGACCTCAAAGCTAGCAATGTTCTGTTAGACTCTGATTACACTCCGAAGATTTCAGACTTTGGCTTGGCAAGGCTATTTGGAGCAGATCAATCACGGGAGGTCACAAACCGTGTTGTTGGAACATAGTAAGCGTGGTCCAATTGGCCTGACGGTACTCAAACGGTATGTCAACTATAATAACATTATGCTCCTCTTGCAGTGGATACATGGCCCCGGAGTATGCAATGCGCGGTCACTATTCTATAAAATCGGATGTGTTCAGCTTTGGCATTTTGATGTTAGAATTTGTGACCGGACGACGAAGCAGTGGCTCCTATAACTTTGACGAGTCTGTCGATCTCTTGAGCCTCGTAAGTTCCTGTGCTGATCCTGAACTCCATAGTTAAGTAACTTCTGTGAAAAATACTGATTGCTAATTCGATACAGATATGGGAACACTGGAGCACGGGGACAATTTCAGAGATCATAGACTCATCTCTGAGAAGTCATGCGCCAGGAGACCAGATGGTGAAGATTTTTCACATTGGGCTGCTCTGTGTTCAAGATAACCCAGCTGATAGGCCTATGATGTCGACAGTAAATGTCATGCTTAGCAGTAACACCGTGTCCCTCCAGTCTCCATCCAAGCCATCATTTTTCATCACCAAGAGCGGCACATACTCGACTCCATACTCGGAGTCGTCATACCCTATGGCTTCCCAGTCGACCGCTAAGTCAGCTATGGCTTCACCAAATGAAGTTTCAATCACAGAGCTTGAACCAAGATGAAGGAAGGATTGCAAAGGACAGTCGGTTTCTTATAATCATCTTATAAAGGTCCCAGTACATTTCTGCTACTGCATTTTTAGTATTTTTCTCCATTCGCCGAGGCAGTTGATTTCTTATTTAAAAATAGATAAACTCAATGCTTTACAGATTATATATTTGTAGTTTTTCCAACGTGGAAAATTCTAGAACAAAGGCTCCTTCTTGTATAGTTATGTATTGTAAACAGAACCAATAGATTGACACAAATTGCTCATTCGATGATCCAACCAAGCCAGACAGCGTTCATGCCGGGACGACACATACTGGAAGGGGTAGTCGTTCTACATGAAACGCTTCATGAGATCCACTTGAAGAAACTGGATGGGGTTATTTTTTTTCGAAAAGGAGGTATACCCCCGGCCTCTGCATCTCTTGATGCACACAGCCATGGATGGGGTTATTTTCAAAGTGGACTTTGAGAAGGCGTATGATAAAGTAAAGTAGCCTTTTCTTCAGCAGGCAATGCACATGAAGGGTTTTAGTGAAACTTGGAGGAACCAAGTAGATACCCAAGTCCAGAAAGGTAGTGTTGGAATCAAGGTGAACGATGACATCGTCACTATTCCAGACACATAAGGGGTTGCGACAAAGGAATTCCATGTCTCCTCTTCTGTTCAATATTGTGGCAGATATGCTGGCCGTCATTATTGGCAGGCCAAGCAGCATGGCCATGTAGAGGGTCTAGTTCCTCATCCATTCTACAATATGCTGATGACATTATTCTATTCATGGAGCATGACATGGCTAAGGCACGTAATATGAAACTTATCTTGTGTCTCTTTGAACAATTGTTTGGATTAAAAATTAATTTTCATAAGAGCGAGGTGTTCTGCTTTGGGAAGACCAAAGACGAGGAACACACTTACAGACAACTGTTCGGATGTGAATCAGGTGCTTTACCATTCAGTTACTTGTCACCGTAAGCTTTCTAATAAAGAATGAAAATGTATTGAAGAACGAATTGAAAAAAAAAAACTTAGCTGCTGGAAGGGCAAGCTGATGTCATATGGAGATCGGCTAGTCATGATTAACTCAGTATTGACTAGTATGCCGATGTTTCTACTTTCGTTCTTTGAAATTCTGAAAGAAGATCGCAAGCGACTTGATTTCTTTAGATCCCGCTTGTTTTGGCAGTCTGATGAGGCCAAGCGGAAATACCGTCTCGCGATATGGGATATCCTTTGCCGACCTAAAGACCAAGGGGGTCTCGGTATTGAGAACTTAGAAATCAAGAACAAATGTCTTATGAGCAAATGGCTATATAAATCAGAGACTGAGCCGGAGGGCATGTGGTCTCAACTCTTGCGCCTAGCCCAAGTTACCATGAGACCGACTGACTCGCCGTTCTGGAAGGGACTTATGCGCACGAAGGACATGTTCTTTTGCAGGGTCAAATTCTTGGTTGGCAATGAAATGTCAACAAGATTTTGGGAGAATACGTGGTTAGGAGAGACGCCCTTGGGCATCCAATATCCTACACTCTAATACTATGCAACGTAAGGAGGATTATGTAGGTATCGTCCTTCAAACAATTCCCTTGAACATCCAGTTCAGACGTGTGTTAGTTGGTGAGAGATGGACCACCTGGATGCACCTGGTTCGGAGATTGATAGAAGTTCAACTCTCCGACCAGTCGGATTCAATACAATGGAAGTTAACTACGAATGGGATGTTTACGGTGAAATCTTTCTATATGGATCTGATTAACTCTGGCCCCCTCTCAAGGTTGTTGCACATTTGGAAAGTTAAGATTCCTTTGCGTATTAAAATCTTCATGTGCTTTGTCCACAAGCAAGTGATACTCACAAAGGACAACTTAATTAAGAGGCGATGGGTAGGCTGTTCGCGGTGCTGTTTTTGTGATCATGATGAAACAATACAACACTTATTTCTTGAATGCCCACTTGCTAAGTTACTTTGGAGAACGATTCATATAGCTTTCAATATTAATCCTCCAGTAGATATTGCGTCTTTGTTTGGGACGTGGTTAGCTGGGGTTGAACAGATTACTGCGGCTCGTATTCGGATTGGAATATGTGCGCTATTATGGGCTATATGGAACTGCAGGAATGATATGATTTTTAACAGACACCATACTTCAAAATTTTTGTAGGTTATTTTCAGAGCTACAGCTTGGATCCGTACGTGGTCCTTACTCACTCCTATGGACTTCAAGGAGCCTTTGGTTACTGGGTGCAACCAATGGGAGATGGTACCTCGGGTTATCTTCAACCGGTTCGGATGGCGCTCGCATAATAGGATAGGAGTCTAGGGAGCTTATCCTTTTTATCTTCATCGTGCCGGTTGTCCTGATTCACATGTAATTTTCCTTTTTTGGTACTTTGTTTTGCTCCGTTCTGTGAGCTGTAAGACATTTTTGAGATTTTGGATTATTAATAAGATGGCCACATACATCATCATGATGCAGAGGCCGAGGGCATGCCTCCATTTCAAAAAAAAAAAAAAGTAAACCGGGGGAAACCGGTTTACAAGCCCGCACAAAATGATCATTCCCATCATGACCTTATTTGGGAAACTGACTAAACTTCCCGATTTGAAATTGTACATTTGGGGACGCATCCCGGCTGAACCAACGAACAATTTACTTAATCCTAGCTTGACAGGATTCCAGTATTTCATTTTTTTTTTCAAGTCATCCAAGGACTAACCTGGCAAACAGTCTAACAAAGTACAGTAGTGATCAGTCTGACACCCCTACCGACGAAACCATTGTTTGGTCCTAATGGATTAAACTCCCAAGGGTCAAACTACAAAACTTCCAAGAACTATATTTGTCACCCAAACAGACCTTATGTACATTATTCTGAACCTGGACAGGAGTGACCCTAAGCTGACGCCGTGGATATGCTGGAGGACGTGGCCGAGCTTCTCCTGGCGTAGAAGACCGGCTTGGGCGGGGCCTGGAGAGACACCGTGTCGCTGCCGAGCATCGTGACCACCGACGACATCGCCGGCCGGGCCGCCGGGTCTCCCTGGGTGCACAGCAGCCCGATGTGGATGCACCGCAGCGCGTCGGTCCGGGAGAAGCTGTCGCCCAAGCACGGGTCTATCAGCCCCGATACCGACCCGGCCGTCCAGCGCTCCCACACCTGAATCATTTGAGTTCGTGCCAACCAGTCAAGACTTGTGCTGCAACGTGTGCTTCTCGACAATCGGACCGTGATCGAGAATATATTTTCGAATAGACACACTCACAAGCGTCAGCAGATCTTCAGACAGCCGGGAGGTGTAGCAGTCGTTGCTCTTCTTTCCCGTCACCATCTCCAGAACCATGACCCCGAAGCTGAACACGTCCGACTTGACCGAGTAGTTCCCGCGCATCACGTACTCCGGTGCCATGTAACCACTGACGACAGTCATCAACAAGAAAAATGGCGTTCGAGTTTAGTTGCCTATATAGGAAAATTAATTTAGCAGCATCTGCCGCCGCATTGCTGGGTGTACTATTACTCACTATGTTCCGACGACACGGCTGGTGATGCCCTGCGTCTGGTCTCCCCCGAAGAGCCTCGCCATGCCGAAGTCGGAAATCTTGGGGTTCATGTTGGTGTCAAGCAAGATGTTGCTCGCCTTAAGGTCGCGGTGGACTACTTTGAGCTGCGAGTCTTCGTGGAGGTACTGCAGGCCTCGTGCGACTCCGCTTATGATCTTGTACCTCTTTCCCCAATCAAGTTGACCGCGCTTCTCGGTGTCTAAGCATTGCATGGTTCGTAAGTTAAGCAAGTAGGAGTGCTCAAACGCATGTTACGGTATCAAATTTTGTGGAGGATATGGATTGAAGAACCTAGACAGGTATGATTCATTTCGTACCGAACAGGATCTTATCTAGGCTCCGGTTGGGGACTAACTCGTAAACGAGCAGTCTCTCCTCCTGCTCTAAGCAGACGCCAATAAGCCTCACGAGATTCTTGTGCTGGAGCTTTGCGACCAAAAGGAGTTCATTCGTCAGCTCTCCAACTCCTTGCGTCGAACTCTTGGCGAGCCTTTTCACCGCTATTTCATCGCCATCTGGGAGAGTACCCTAGTGAGATCAAACCATGCCACGGTTAGTGTATTATACTATAGTAGTGAATTTTCTTTTTGAAAGTAGTGATTATAGTTTGATGGTATTATATATGCTTTGACTTCCTTTTGTTCATTTCATACCTTGTACACCGCACCAAATCCGCCTTGGCCAAGCTTGTTGCTCTCTGCGAAACCCCCGGTCGCAGCTCTCAACGTAGAAATGTCGATGAGCATCGATTCTACGCTTTCCATGTTCTCACGACTAGAATCTGATGAAGTGCACGTATTAATTAGCTAATCCAAGTGGATAGTCTAATCTGTTTCTTTCAAGATGTGAAGTTTGAGAAGTTTGCAGGGCTTTACATGGTTGAGTTGCTCCTGCTTGTGGTCTCCTCATCCTCCTCCAGATACAGAGCCAAACAAGAAGGTTGATTATCACCAGAGCTGCGATAGTAGGCAGCACAATGACAAGGACCGTGGCAGTAACGATGAACTTCCTTTCTGTGAATTGACATATGCCCACCGCAAATGAGTGTCCCAAAGACAATTCACCACCAATTTATCTAAACATTTTATCTAACTTGCCGTGTACTAGTACTGCACCATGACTCCTGAAAACTTTTCTTTAACAAAAAGCTGAAATCTTCTTGACACTGTGCAAGTGTAATGCTGTGTGTGACAAAATTACAGATTCCGGTCCATTTGACAGAACAAATGGGCATGCATGATTCTGTCAGCTCCATGTGCCTTAGTCCATCAACAAGTGAACAAGTTGATGACTGGAAGTTTGTTATCTCTAACCTCATTTGGCGTACGTTTTCCTTTTTCTAGATGCATGTATGTCAATTTGTCAACGATGGATAGCTAGGGAGAGTGGGAGATGACACAGCCTAGCTAGCATGGTAATCTTTGTATACAGGAGTAGCTACTGAATGATTGCTAAACGAGCACTAATAACAATCTTCCATGGGACTTTAAAGGTAAGCTAGTGTCACGCTCACGCGTTCTTTAAGGATGCCACGACGCGACCAGATGAAATACAAGTATACTGTAGTAGGAAAACTCACCTCCGGCGACCGCCCCTGGAGTCGGAACCGTGGGCCCAACTGCAGGCGCAGGCGCGGCCGAGCTCGGCGGCGCGGCCAGCCTGACCATCACCGGGCCGTCGAGGAAGGAGTACGTCTCGTACCGGTAGCTGCACCTGACCCCAAGAGATCTCCCTCCGACGCGGTCGGTGAACCGCCTCGGCATTCCGGCAATGAGTCCGGCGAGGCAACCACGGCACCGCGCCGGCGTGAGGTCCGGCGTGCACTGCGCCCAGCTGTACACCCTGGGGAACTGGCCGCCGAGGTCGGCCTCCCCGGACGCGTACCGGCGCGTGGAGTTGTACGCCGCGTGGTCGGCGGTGGCGTTCACGAGCGCGGCCACCTGGCGGTTGAACCGCCCGGGGTCGGACGTGACGTTCTGGTTGTTGATGCGGTTCGTCCTCCCGACGTTGTCCAAGGAGGAGAGGGAGGTGGCGTTGGAGGAGTAGTAGAGGGCGCAGGGGTCGTAGTAGATGGCGGCGTCCTTGTCGTAGGCGCACTGGTTCTGCACGTCCTGGAAGGCCATGGCGAGGCAGCCGGAGCAGGCCGTGGCGTTGGCGTCGCCCCGGCAGAGCGCGAGCGCCGAGACCTGGTCCGGGGCGGCGCCGACCACAGCGGTGGCGAAGAGGTCCGGGGAGGAGGAGATGTTCCTGGGCAGCGCCGCGGCGAGGAGGCCGAGGTTGGCCTGGTACGTGCTGTTGGCCGTGAAGTTGGCTGCCGTGCCGCACACCTGCCACGGATACGCCGCTGCGCACCGCGCCAGCAGCACGACGGCGAGGGATGTCACGACCACGGCGAGGGGGCTCATTGTGTTCTGTGTCTGTGTGTATGGCATTGGCAGGTTGGTGATCGAATCGGACTATTAAGGAAACGGGATACTGGAGACCGAGATGGACTGACTGCCCGTCGACCCAATCAAATCATCAACTTGCAATGCAAGTTGCCAAGTGCATGGTATACTAGTACACTGTAAAGTCTGTAAGTGTAAGAGCCCCTAACCCGATGGCAGCGATCCTGGCGGAGCCGAAACCTCGTGCGCTTGGGTAGTATCGTCGTGACGCGGACAAGTTGCGTTCAACGTCCGTACCGATGGGTCAAAATCAGTACCCTTTTTATTTCCAGAAGTTGCATGGCAATCCTGGAGGCCGGAGCTGTTGTTGATTGTGCAGCCAACTCGTGCTTGATGATGCAATGTTC